CCCCCCCCCCCCCAAAAAAAAAAGGTACTACTGTAATAGCATAGCCAGGTAGCAAATTGCCATGTATGGGAAGTCACCTAGGGCAGGGGTATGCTAAGCAAGAGGGCAATGATTGGAAAAATCAGTATATGCACCAATTAATGTGTAGAAGAAGAATTGAAACAACACAGAGGCCACAACAGAGAGACAATGAATATAGCTAATTAGCTAGAGAATAGGGTGGGTGAGCAAATGGTGAACCTAAAAATTATTGACTCCAGCTCCCAACACCACCGTCCCTGTTCTTGGTAGGAAGGTGTCGGATCCATACCTTATTCAATGTCACATCACCTTTTTCTTCTTGAGGTGGTTCAAGTAACCTGCAATGGAGGTTTGAGGTAGGGGTCCGGGGTCCCCCTGGGATGATGGAAGCAACAGTTGTTAGATCTCCCAATGCGATTATATGTCGATCGGACACATCAAAAGAGCAGTTTTTCTTTATGAACACTGTTCAAACTCAAACTTGTCTTGCTCTCTTGAGAGTTTGTTGAGTCTTCTTGCTTTTAAAACCTGAGTCCTGATCAGTCTTTCGCCCAAATCTGATCTGACCCAAAATTTTATGGGCGAGTGGTAGATGGCCATGTGAATGGAGTTATGGTGAAGAATTGGACGTGGCCGACAGTTCAATTGAGAAAACAAGTTGAGAACTGCCGGGAACCCAGATGGATAAGTCATAAGTGGGGTGGCGAGATTCGCCACTGCTGATTGAATTAACCTGGTAAGTGGGATTAAACCAGTGAAACTTTGAATTGGGACACAACATACAGCTCTGTTGCCCAGAATACTACAGGATATGTTCCACCTCCTGGGACAACTTCAACTTTTTTTTGTGTAGCCTTATCCGTGCTTGCTGTGCCATCGCTTCATCACTAATAACAGACGGAAAAAGACCTGAACAAAAAACCCAGAGAAAAGTAACAAAGCTAACAACTAAAGATATGAAACATAAACATCAAACAGTACCATGTTTTAACCATGGTTCAAAGTTTTTTTTTTGGTAATAAAATAAAATTTTGTTAGAGAGGAGAGAAGATACAAAAGGGTGTCAAGACTCAAGAGGCAAGAGATAAAATTAAGGCCCACTGCCACCCCAAATTGAAATAACTGGATCCACAAAACTCTATCAGATAAGCACGAACAAACATCCAAACACAATCCAAGATAACAGCCCATCTGCCTCTTAAACATCTACCCTGCCCTGTAATTAACACAAACCATGGTTCAAAGTATCCAGACTCTGGTAATGTTCGGTACCATAAAACGTTTTTACTAAATAGTCCAATGACTAGGAGGCATCATTGTAGAGGAATATTTTGATACCCATAAACCTAAAGGTTCTTTTTCTGGTTCTATGCTTCTAGAACCATTAAAAGTCTGCATCAAGATTTTAATCCATGTGTAATAATGAATCCATCAGAAAACTTTTACTTTTAAATTTGACCATTGAATGTGAGTAACTATAGTAGACCATTGAATGTAAGTCACTATAGTAGGGTGGTGACACATCAAATATAAACATGTGAATTTAAATGTTTTTGGAGGTAATGCTAATGGGATTGAATGAGTGGGATACTTGTTCTAACACCTAATTCGTGTCAAAACCGTGTCAAAACCAATGTTCAAAGTATTGACACATATCGTGCCATTGGCTTCCCGATATGCCCCTATAGGGAGTGTATCGGGGTTCTAACTAGTTCAGGGGGTAGAAAAGACTTAAACCGCCCCCCTAAACCAGTTTTGAAAAAGAAATAAACAAAAAAAAAACATTATTGATATCACCCAATATGCCCCTACCATCATATCAGGCATGTCGATATTTTGAAACTTGGTCAAAACGTCTATTGGCATTTTGATATGAAATGCCATCGCCTCTCTAAACATTTGGGCCTCAAATGACACTAGTATCAAACACAACCTATATCAGCATGGATATTAAGATTTGTACCAAATACAGAATCCTAATACGATAAAAAGCATTTCAGCAACCCTGAAAACCGATACATACGTAAGATACAATACGATATGTTGTGATATTTTAATCCTTGGTTTTAACAAAAATGGAATGTATCAATTAACCAAAGAGAGATTTTCATAACTAAAACTGTTGGAGGGCAGATACCAATCACCACATATAATTGCTTATCTACAACTTTAAAATGGTCAAGTGGTTAGATATCAAATTATATTTACGGTGTCAGCAAGGTAACGCAATATGCATCCCAATCCAGCTTTCTCTGTTAGTTTTTCATGGATCCGAAGGAATTGATCACATGTGGGGCGGTCTCCAGTAGCCAAACCTCTATACAAATACCTATAAATTACAAGTACAATCGCAATTCATTATTTGCATGACAAGATAACCCAAAAAAACTAGAATACAAATTCTTCCAGTTCAGCTAGATTGATAGTTTGAGTTGAGATGAGTCCACATATGCATGCACGCAAACAAAAGCACAGATGCATGCAGAACATGGATATTCAAGCAGTAATGCAGAGAAAGCATAGTGTGTAGCGTTCCTTCCAACTAGATTAAGGAAAACTAAGTTGATTTGTAAACCATGAGCAATTTAGGATTATGGAAAATAAGGAATTTAGGGGTTTGGTTTTACATGAGCAAACTAAAGACAATAACCAGTACAAATAATTCCAGGAGTCAGAAGATATCTATTAGTTGACATGAGATGCATTAATTGATATATGTATAATAGAACGGTAAATGCATTAAATTTATGGACAAATGTGCAAACGATTTTTAACAGATCCTGCCTGCCTCTATCATAATTCATACATGTTTTAAATATCACAGCTATGGATCCACAGACTGGCATTTAATGCCAATCAATCTCTTCGCCAAAAATTCTTCTGCCATCTAATCCATTGGATGGAAAGAAACAAAACAATAATTGATCCACCAAAAAGTTCGTATGATGATTGAACAGCGTCCAATCAGGACAAAATGTAATGTGAAAGATATTTGGGTGGGGTCTAGGTCCTGCACACCATATATGAATGAAGCCAAGGCATGGAGAATATTTACCAATGTAATGAAGTCTGAGAAGTGAGAACCTCAAGGACAATCTGTTGCATATGTTCATGTAGGCAAGTTTATATAGATGCCTACACATATAGCCATCTAAACAGAATCCTAACCACAAGAACATATATAAATGCTGCACAAAATCATGTATGTGAAATTATAAAGATGCCCAATAGCATGGCAATCTAGCCGTCCCAATATAGTTGGGATAAGGCATGGATGATGATGATGATGATGATAATCATATGGCAATCTAAATGGAAGCTTAACGAGAAGAAAATTTACAGGTATTGCATATATTTATGTAGACAAATTTATATTAGACACATACTTGTATGGCTATCAAACAGAAGCCTAACTAGAACAAGAAAAGAGCAAGGTTTCACTGTGTGTGTGTGTGTGTGCAAATGCTGTATACCACATTTGTGCAAGTCATAAAATGTTTTTTTTTTTTTTTGATAAGTTAGTCATAAAATGTTTTGACTTGTTAATTGTGATTTGGCAGAACTAAGAGTGAATTCCTTGCTTGATAACCTATGCAAAATAGACTTCTAAATATGACCCTGATATTGTTGTTAGTCTGTTGCTTAAATGTTTTCTGATATTTAGATTTCTATTAATAAGCTTCATAGTTGCAGTTGCCAGTTACCTTTCTCATTGATCCAACACAAATAGCATTGCTTGTTACTATTAGCTTCCTGGAAAGTTCCTGAAATCCTTGCATTGTTCTCCATAAAAAAGAACAAAACAATGTATCATGAAACTTCGATTCATTCTGAATGGAAACTAGGAGAAATCTATCAAAAGAACTTCTCTTAAGATATGTAGACAAAGCAAATAGAACAGGTATTTTCACTTGCCATTGTTTCCAAGGGATTCATGGATGCAATATCAAGGACAATGGACTCCAGAAGTCCAAAACCCAATCCACCATCCAATCTGATTATTTTGGATTCGTTTGTTAAAACCGGCATCCATTTAATAATTGAATCTGATGTGGATTTTACCCCATCCAATCCAATTAAAATCCAAGTACAATTAAAATTTATTATATATAAATATAATATAATATAAAAAGCCATTGCCCAATGTTGGTCCCAGCTATCTGGGGTCTTGGGAAGGGTAGACCAGATACGGCCCTAACATTTTCTTGAATAAGTGGTGACTCTCAGACTCAAGTCCACATTCTCAAACTTGACGATCCAAGATTTTACCATTACACCAAGTAATGGCCACTATATATAATTAGATAAAGTTTATAATTAATAAATTCAATATTCTATATTATATAAATTTATTATATATGCATAAATTAAAAAAGTAATTAATTTTTTAAAACTTTTTAAACTTTTATTTATTTTAATGACAATAACTGGATCCAAGTCCAATATTTTGCATKTTGGATGTAAAGTTTCAATAATCAGATTGAATTCAGATGTGGCCGGATCCAATATGAATCCAACCCAATTACAGCCTTATTGCAAACAATTCCTT